GAAAAAAAAAAAAAAAAAAAAAAATCAAACAACAAAAGAATAGAAACAATATAAACGAATAATTAGAAGACTAAGATAATCTGAATATAAACATTTCATTGAATTATTGTTTTAAGGACTACTTGATGAGAAGACTCACAGTGCTAATACACAAAATGTGCTATTAAGCTTTAAGGATTATTTCTCTGTTTCTAGAGTATATCTTTTCATAACTTGATTGATTTGTCTCTCTATAGATGTTGAAATATTTTGCAACATTTGAAGTATTCTTTGAAGAAAATCTCTCCAAACTATTTCTTCATTTCAAGTCTTACAGTCTTACACCAGATATATATTTGATAGACTGGTAAGTCATAACATAAATAACAAATGATAATGAAAAGAAAATAATCTAACTTTTTGTGTGTTTTAGGAACTATACTAAATCTGATGAATGGGATAATACGTGTAAAAAATCTTATTTTAGAAAAAGAAAACTCCCATATTTTTGTGGGGATGTATTTGATTAAGAGCATGGAATCTGGGTTGCAATTAGAATTTCTCAGTTTGTTTTATTTTATTATCCAAATAATGGATTAGTAATATCTGTATTTTGAGATATAGTATGAGTATTTCACATGGATTATCTCATTCAGTGTCTAGTATATGTTAAGCTTTCAGAAAGATTGCTGTTTCTTTATTCTTAAAATGTAAGGAATTATGAACAGTGTATCTTTACTAAGACCTGTTTTTCAAGACTTATTTAGCTCTCTGACAGAAACGACTTATTTAGGTGCTAATGTCTTTTTTCATCTTTTCAATTCGAAACTTTCTGTTCTTTTTTTTTATTCATTGTTTATTGATTCATTTTAAGTATACAGTATGATGACATTGATCATTGGGAATTTGTACCTTTAGACGATATATCTTGCTTATTTTTTTTCTCATTCCTCTGCCATTCCTAAACCCCTCCCTATTTACAAAGACTTTGTTTCCATTTTTTCCTTTTCTCATATTTATTCCTTTCCCTTCTTTCCTTTACACTACCCCTCCCATTCTCCCTTCCATTTTTGACCTTTCTTCCTGTTTCACATTATATATTATATATTTTGATGCTCATTTACACTTTCAGGTTCTCACATCAGAGAAACGACTCAGTATTTACACATGTCCTATTTATTTCACTTTAGTATGTGCATCCATTTAGCTATAAATGTCTGTAGTTTCTCATTCTTTATGGCTGAGTAGTACTCCATTTTATAAAACATCCCATTTTCTTTATCCAGTTGTTGGGGAGTTGGGCTGTTGCCAAGTTTTAGCTATTATAAACTGACTGATTAGAGTCAATGCAGAAACAGGAGATAGTACAAACAACATTAAAAAAAAACAACAAAAAACAAACAAAAACTGTTCACCAAAGTAATGGCAGAAAACTACCCAAGTAGGGGAAATGAATTTGACATACAGATAAGTGAGGATATAGACCCCAATTAGCTGTGATTAAAAAAAAAAATCTACATCTAGGCATATAATACTCAAGATCCCAGAATCCCAATAAAACAAAATACTACAAGCAGTTAGAGAAAAGAAACAAATCACATATAAAGGAAAGCCCATCAGAATCATAAGAGATGTCTCAACAAAGAAAACCCCTCAAGTCTAGAAGAGCTTGGAGTGAAGTATTTCAAGCCCTAAAAGAAAATAACCTCTAACCTATATTGATGTACCCTGAAAAACTGTCTTTCAAAATCAGTGAAGAGGGCTGGGGATTTAGCTCAGTGGTTGTACCCACCTGCCTTGCAAGCATAAGGACCTGAGTTCGATCCTCAGTACCAAAAACAAACAAACAAATAAAAACAAAACCAGTGGAGAAATAAGATGTTTTCATGACAAAACACCCGAGGAACTTCACGAATAACAAACTGGCACTCAAAAAATTTTTAAGCAATATCCTAGGAAAAGAAAACGAGGGTCACAACCCCAGGAAGCCCAACAGAATGAATCCATCAGGTGAAAGAAAAAATTAAATGCAAAGGGGAAGACTCCAACAACAGAAAAGGTCATGACAAGGATAAGTCAATACATAACAGTCACAGTCATCAATGTTAATGGTCTTAATTCACCAATCAAAATAATAGTTTGGCAGAATGGATCAGAAGCAAGATCCAAAAATATGCTGCATACAAGAAACACACAATTCAGAAAGAATCTCATAGAATGAAAGTTAAAGGGTGGAAAACAATACTTCATGTGGCAGGAACACACAAAAAAAGGAGTAGCTATTTTATTTATAGATATAATAGATTTCAAACCAACACTAATTAAAAGAAAGAAGGACACTATATACTTGTAGAGGAAACAATCCAAGAGGAAGAGATGACAATCATAAATATATATGCACCAAACAATAGTGCACCCAACTATATAAAACAAATACAAATGGACATGAAAATCAAATAAGCACTAATACAGTAGTAGTGGGTGACCTCAATACCCTGCTGTCATAATAGACAGATGAAAAAAGATAAGGAAATACTAGAACTCAATGAAACTCTAGAACAAATGGACTTAACTGATTTACAGAGTATTCCACCCCACAAAATCAGAATACACATTGTTTTTGGCTGCACATGGGATGTTCTCCAAAATAGACCTCATACTTGCTTATAGAATATGTTTAAGTTAATGCAAAGGAATGAAGTTATCCCCTAAATATTATTATCAGATCATAGTGCAATGGAATTGGAGATCAGTAGCAAAAGGAACCACAAGAATTTCATAATCACATGGAAATTGAACAACACACACTTCTGAAGAACCAGTGGGTCACAGAGGAAATTAAAAAAGAAATTAGATAGTTTCTACAATTAAATGACTGTCAGAGGGTGGTTATATAGAGGTGGCCATAGGGTTCACAGAGTAATGATGGTGAAAGATTAAGAAAACTGTTGACAGTAAAGTTTATATATTTGAGGCCAGGTGGAAACTCTTTATCCTGATGAGACAAAAAGCTTGGCTTGCATCCTCAGCACCTGTGTTTATAATGTAGATAAGGAAACTGAAAGGGGATGTCTGGAATAGCGAGAATGGCTAGGGTCTGTAGGAGACAAAGACAGTAAAGTTTATATAACTGAGACCAGATAAAAACTCTTTGTCCTGATAAAAAGTTTGGCCTAACCTCAACACCTTTATTTATAATATAGATAAAAAAAGAAAACCCAAAATGTCTGATTAGAACAACAACAAAGAAATGGCAGGGTCTATAAAAGACAATGCTTGATGTTTCTCTGACAAATAAATAAAAACAAAAAGATAGTCTTCTTGGCCAGACCTTCCTTCACCATGCTCTCCACTTAAAGATAAGTTAGGCCTCACCATAGTGATCTATAACACATCACTCCCAACAAGTGACAGTGCCGATACAACATATTGGAATGTATGGGACACAATGAAAGCAGTCTTATGAGAGAAATTCATAGCAGTGAGTACTCATAGTAGGAAAACAGAGTGAGCTCAATTAAACAACTTACTGCTGAACCTCAAGCTTCTAGAAAAAGAAGAGCAGAACAAACCCAATGTCATACAAGGGAGGAAATTATGAAAATCAGAGCAGAAATCAATGCAGTGGAGACTTAATGATACAAAAAAATCAATGAAGCAGAGTTGGTTCTTTGAAAGAATAAAGAAAATTGGCAAACCCTTAGCCAACCTTATCAAAAAAAGGAAAGAAAAGGCCCAAATCCATGCAATCAGGAATGAAAATGTTGAAATTACAACAGACCCAGCAGAAATCCAGAGGATCATCAATACCTTCTTTGAGTACCAATTTGCCAATAAGATGGAAAACATAAAAGAAATGGACAGATTCCTAGATACATAAGAATTACCAAAGTTGAATGAAGAAGACCTAAAAAATTCTAAACAACCCAATATCAATCAATGAAATTGAAAATGTAATTAAAAACTTAACGAATGAGGAAACACCTGGGGCCTGATGGCTTCACTGCTGAATTCTACAAAACTTTTTGTTCTAACATGGAAGGTTTGCCTGGTGAGTAGTAGCCAATTGATTTTAGAATGGCTAAAATATTTTGCCAAAGAGACAGAGCAGTTAACCCTAAAATAGGTTGATCAAATGTTGTGTCACACAACTTCCTAATTTGGCCCTTCATTTATTTAGTTTTAGTTTTAGTTTTAGTTTTTTTTTTTCTTTGTTTATTGGTACGTTTTAGGTATACATTACAGTTACATTCATCATTGGGCTTTTGTACCGTTACATGACAGGTCTTGGTTCTCATTTTTTCCCTTATCCCTGCCCTCCCTTCACCCCCTCCTCCCTTCCCTATTTATAAATACTTTATTTCCATTTTTTCATTTGGGAAAAGAAAAAAAAAACATGAGAAAATGAAAAAATATTTAGGTTTTTTAAAAAAAGTTTTCAATATATGTGCCTCAGTTTCCACTAAGAACATTAGTGTTCTTCTAGGAAGGACCCCAAGCTAATCATGAAACCCAAAGAACCAAGGTTAGATACTAATTTTGTCAGGAAGGGACTTTAAAAAAACGCTAACTTCTCAATTTTGAGGAAGGAATATGTGACATATTAGGATCACAACTGATACAGAGAATGACTACTGTGTATTAACAGCTGTCTAGGCACTACTTATACCCTTCGTCATTTTTTTTTTTTTTTGGTGCTGGGGATCAAACCCGGGTCCGTGTTTTTGTGAGGCAGGCAGCGGAACCACTGCGCTAAATCCCTGGCCCTACCCTTTGTCATTTTTAACAGTGAAGTTAGTATTCTCTGTACTATGAAGAATATATCTTTTGTTATGCAATTAAATGTTAGTTTATAATTTAAGAAGTAGAGAAGATTTTTTTCACTCTTTGTTGAACTTACTACTTTTTTTTTTACAAGGGAAAATGAGTAAATCATAGTGCTAAATGTTCTTGTTTGTTGTTTATGAGACTAGTTTTCAGTTCCCTTCCTCAAATTCCTCAGCATTACCTCAAATAAACACGCAATCAAAGTAAAAAGTTATATCCTAGCCCGGTCTGGTGGTATATACCTATAATCCCAGCACTCTGGGAGGCTGAGGCAGGAAGATTGCAATTTCAAACCTAGCCTGGGTAACTTAGGGTCTTAGCAAGACCCTGTATCAAAATAAAAAGGGCTGGAGAATGTAGCTCAGTGAGAATGCCCTGGGTTCAAACCCCAGTAGTACCACCACCAAAAAAAAAAAAAAAGGTTACGTTCCTTCTTTCTTTGACAAGGCAAATTGAAGACAAGTATTCTAGTACTTATTCTTCCAACTTCCCCAACGAGAATGCCATCTGAAAGGCCATGGAAAAAAGAATTTCATGGTGAGAGATTGTCAGAAAGGAAGAGAAGAACCATTTCAGTGATTCTGATGGAAAAATAAAACAAAATGATGGATGTTTATGGAAGGGAAAAAGTCAGACTTTATGTGTTTGTATTATGTTACTGAAAAATGATATTTAGTTTTCTCATAAAATAATAAGCATTTCTTTTCTTACTTGGTTCTGGGATTAAACCCGGAGCCTTGCACATGCTGAGCATGCAGTCTACCACTAAGCTACTGCCCTAGTCCTGATCATTTCTTATGTGTCAGACACTCTTCTAAGCACTTTATCAACTCCTTTAATTTTCAAACTAATCTTAAGGTAGGAACAATTATTCTTTAGTTTACTGATGAGGAAACTGAAGCACAATGAGACTAAATATCTTGCTCAAGTTAATAAAATTAAGTGGCAAATTCGAACATCAAGCTTTCTTATTCTGGTTTCCAAGACCATACCTTTAACCATAAGGGTATTCTACTACTCTTGATTGTATTAGGCTTTTCCTCAATGTAAGGTAAATTTACATAATTTTATTACTTATTATTATTTCCTGCTATTCAAGTTTGAGGGCAGATCCATATTTTATTTGCTTTTTTATCACTAAACAGTTTTTTTCCTATAACAATGCTTAATGAATCAATGAATGAAAAAGTTCAATGACAAATTATTTTCTACCTAATTTTAGGATCTTCACACTATATAGCAAATCACTACCACTGGATCTGGCCTGTCGAGTCTGGGATGTATTTTGCAGAGATGGAGAGGAATTTTTATTTAGAACAGGATTAGGAATCCTCCGGTTATATGAAGATATTCTTCTACAGATGGACTTTATTCATATAGCACAGTTTCTAACTAAATTACCAGAAGATATCACATCAGAAAAGCTATTCAGCTGTATTGCAGCAATTCAGATGCAGAATAGCACCAAAAAATGGACTCAGGTACAGTGAAATGTTTTTACTTCAAATAAATATGTTAAAACAATTGTTTAACTTTTTTTTTTTTAATGTTATATATTGGGCTGGGGATTTAGTTCAGTGGTTCTGCTGCCTGCCTCGCAAGCACAAAGACCTGAATTCGATCCCCGGTACCAAAAAAAAAAAAAAAAAGTTACATATTTCTCAAGTTTTAGTGCTTAAATAAATGTTATCTTTGAAAAATAATGTTTGTCTTTGAAAAAGCAAGAGTTCAATATAGATTGTCCTTCCATCTCTCCAAACCTAGGGTTTTATTATGTAAATCCAGTAATATTTTTGAAGTACAACCCAGAAAAGTAATTTCTTCACAGAGCTGTTATATAATTACTTTGTTATTTCAAATAGGTAATAATTTTAATAAAAACTGCTATGTACTAAGAGTTTTCTGTAGATTAATATATGACCCTGGCTTTTTAGGTGGTTAATCTTTTTCTTTTTAAAGTTGGTCTTGCTATGTAGTTCAGACTGGCCTTCACTTATTAGCTGAAGCTAGCCCCGAACTTGTGATCCTCCTGCCTCAGACTTCCAGGTGCTGAGATTACAAGCATGCATCACCACATCCAGGGCAGATGCTTAATCTTGTTGAGTAAGCAAATATACTGCACATCTAAATTAAATGACATAAAGTAAGCATTATTTCTTGATCCATCAATGATTGCTCATGAAAATGAAATGTAAGAATATTGGTTCAGAATGTGGTGTTACCAGATCAGAGTATTAGTCAATTGATGAAAACTGGAATATAATTATATTTCATATAATTGGATTTGAAAAAACAAGGGGATTGAGAATAATCTTTCAGGGGATGTAGTTAAGTGTACTAAAACTTTTTTATGTTAATAAGCTATAGTTATTTAAATCTCTCTAATTTGTGTGGTAGGTTTCTCTTTTTTCCAATCTTTTTTTACGGTGTTAGGGATGGAAACCAGAGCCTAATGCGTGCTAGGCAAGCACTCTAGCACCGACTTACATCCCCAGCTTGGGTAGTAGTTTGTGAGGATTAATCTTTATTTTATTTAATTTCCAGGTTTTTGCATCTGTTATGAAGGATATTAAAGAAGGAGAGAAGAACAGCAGTCCTGCTCTGAAAAGCTAATCTTCAAAATTAACAGACTAACTGAATTATAAACAGTGTTTTTTTGAGGAGTACAAGTTATTTTTGTTTCCTGTGTAAAAAGCATGGAAAACAATGTTGAAGAAATTGATCAGAATCAGGAAGTGGAAAACTGCTGGTTTAAAATTCCATGGCCAAAGTAATGAAATGAGTAATATATTGACAGTATTAATTTAAAAAAAAAAGTATTTCGTAGGGATACCCATTTTTTTCAGAGAAAAAAGTTTAAATGGATATTTTAGACTCCATAATTTGGAATAAACAGTTTAATGCAATAAATTTTTTAAATAGCTTCAAAGATTCTTCAAAGTTTTACATCTTTACTTTAATAATTACCACAGAGACACTTTGAAGGTCAGAGTAGAATTGTTCAATATTACTTCAACCTCCAAAGTGCTTTAATACAGATGTTATCTCTAGTTCCAAACTTTAAAAGATTGTATTGAAGACCAAGAATAAGCAACTTTCCATTTACACTAAGTCACCAAGAGTATCTTCGTTTGCAGTTTGGAGCAAATGTGAATGATCTGGGAACTGGAAATACTGGGGGAAAATTGTTTCTTGTTTGTTTAGGTTTAGTACCACCACAGTTATGTCTAATTGTCCTTGAAGGGAATTTATCTTCCTTAAGGAATTCTTGTCACTGAAAGAGTTTTAGCCTTTCAATTTCTAATCTAACAAAGTGTTCACCTAGAAATGTAACATTAAGAAAACAAATTAATAGAATGAAAGTTCTTTGCACTTTAGTGGACTGAAGACTTGACTTTGAGAATAAGTCTAAAATATAAATGAGGCTTTTCACTGGTAAGAGTAAAAAGTAATGAATTCTGGGAGTTCTTAAGTAGCATACTACCTGAAAAAACTTTACATTTTTAAGTTAAAAGTCTTTCTCTGTTTATAGAAATGAAATTTTGTTAATTCATTTGAAATTTGAAATCTTATACTTAGCTAAGTCCATGACTTGTGAAATACTATGCATAATTTTTCTAATCAGTGGAAATAAGAGTAAAAAGGTAAAATCAACTTTATTTTTGAGTCTAACTTTGATGGCATAGCAAATACATTATTAATATTCGATAAATTGGCATTAAATGTAATAAGTTTTGAATCTAAATTCAATCATGAGTGTTATAAGTGGTATCTATAACATACTATGTGGCTAATAGTTAAAGTTATAGTTTTTATGTTGCAATATTAAGCACACTATTTCTGTTAGTGATATCTGTGTGTATAGTCTTCCAACTAACAAGCCTCAGATCCTTGTTAGTGTAGTGACTGCCTCTTTAGTAGGAGTTTGGGACCAGAGGGTACCCATATATTTTTACCCTATGGGTCATTCTAGCCTAGGGACTACTAGTGGAACCCTCAGAAATTAACTCCTGTTACAGGGGCTTGCTTAGTGGAAAGTGATAGTGTAATAAAATACTGAGGGAGTGTCCAGGGTTTTAATAGGTTTTAAGATGACCTTTCAACTCTGGTAACAGTTTCCTTGGTATTGGTGTCCCTGATAGAGGGAATATAACCTCTGGCAGTAATCTCATTGAGGTTATAGGACCTGCCTAAATGTAATCTTACTTTTATGTATTTCCTGTATTTTTTCTTATTGTACAGTTTCTTTACCTTTCAAATATAAATGTGTATATAAAATGTAAATACAAGGAATTCACTAAAAACCACTAGTAACAATTACTGTGTAAATAAAACTTGCGAGCAGAGTAATTACTTGAAAATGAGTCTTCATTATTTTGAGGATATCTGGTTTAGTTACCTACATCAGGAGGGAAAAAAATATCCTTTTTTTGGCAGGGGGTAAGGTGAAGGCAAATTTTTCTTCCAAAGGATGTAGTAGGTTTTTGGTCTTTTGAGACTTTCAGTACTGGCAGCTAAAATACTGTCCTGTGTCTTCCTCCCTTCAACTTTATGTACGGGCAATAAGTAATTATTTTCATGGTCAGTGTATGTTAGGTTTCCGTTTTTTTTTTTTTTGAAGTCTATTTTCATCTAAAAATAGCTTCCTAAATAGAAGATAATATGAAAATGGTGTTCCAATTGCTTGTATGTTTCATATTTTTCATCATTTTTATGAATAGTTTTACATGGTATATATATATATACACACACACCATATTTTATCTATTCATCGGTCGATGGACATTTGGATTGTTTGCATTTCTTGGTTATTATGATTAGTGCTGTATTAAACATGGGAGTATAGAAGTCTTTTCAACAGACTAATTTCATTTCTTTTGGATACATGCGCATGGGGGCTTGTGGCTGGGGATATAGCTTGGTGGCACTGTGCCTGCCTGGCAAGCACAAGGTCTTGAGTTCGGTTCCAGGTACCAAAAAAAAAAGAATTTTCTTGTATATATACACAGTGGTATTGCTGGATCATATGCTAATTTTGTTATTATTGTTTATTTTTGAGGTACTGGGGATGTTCACACTGAGCTATATCTCCAGTTCATTTTTTATTTATTTAAATACAAGGTTAGGGCCGGGGATTTAGCTCAGTGGTTCGGTGGCCTGCCTTGCAAGCACAACGACCCGAGTTTAATCACCGGTACCAAAAAAAAAAAAAAAAAAAAAAAAAAAAAAGGACAAGGTGTCACTAAGTCACTAATTTATTTACCCAGGCTAGGCATGAACCTGTAGTGTTACTGCCTCAGCCTTCCTTAGTGTTGGGATCACAGGAGTGCACCACCAAACCCAGGTATTTTTTAATTCTTTGAAAACTTCCACACTGCTTTCCACAATGATTGTACTTATTCATATTCCCTGCAACATGTGCAAGGTTCCTTTTTCTCCACATCCTAGTCAGTACTTACTATTTTTTGTCTTTTTTATAATAGCCATACTAATTGGAGTAAGATAATCTTCATTGTGGTTTTAATTAGCATTTCCTGGATTAGTTTTATTGAACTTTTTTTTTATGTATCTGCTGGCCATTTATATGTCTTCTTTTGAAAAATGTGTTTAGATCTGTCCCTTGTAACACCATTAAATCAATCCTTTGTAGAAATATTTTGTCCTTTGTCTTTTCTAATCTTTTGCTATTCCTCTTTGGATTTTTGCATGCTCTAGGCATTTGCTCTACCAGTAAGCTACACTCCCAACCCCATACCCCTTTTTAGAGGGACAGTACTGGGGATTACAACTGACCTACATCCCCCAGTCTTTTTTGAGAAAAGGGTCTAGCTAAATTGCTGAGTCTTCAGCGTACCTGTGATTACCAGTATACATCACTGAGTCCAGCTCAATATTCCAGTTTTTGACCTCTACTAGTTCATTCTATTCTAACCAATCTTTAAATGTTGAAATTTTTAAGTGAACCAGAAATAATTTGAGTTGACTGTCTGGTCAGTTGCACATCTTTCTTTCTTTCTCTCTCTTTTTTTTTCTATACCTGGGATCAAACTCCAGACCTTAGGCTTGCAAGGCAGGCAGCAGCACCACTGATGCATAATCTTTCTTTAGTGACAGTTGTAAATGAAAGATAAATTCAATGGAAATAGACCAAAATAAAAATAATCCAATCACTCATATCTATCATAGGCAAAGCAAGGAACTATTTGGGGGTACTAGTAACTAAATAGTAAATAAAATAGATAATGTTTCGGGTCTGAGTTTACACTGTAGTACAAGCAACAAACAACTATAAAACAATGTCATATGGTGATAAGTAGTAAATATTAGAATAAAATATGAAGAGTAAGGTCATGAGAATACAGGATAAATGTTTAGAGAAAAGTTCTCCTTTGAGGAAGTGACATTAAGTGGGGATCTGAATCAAATGAAAATATAAGCCATACAAAAAAACTTGACATATAAGCTATACAAAGACTTAGACATCTTTTAGGTGGAAAAGCAAGATTGGGCAGACTCAAGGTTAAGAGACTAAGAAATGGCAAGAAGTCTATTGTGTATAAAAGGGTGAAGTTTGAGCTGGCAATGCACCTCACTGGTAGAGTGCTTACCTAGTACGTGCAAGGCTCTGGGTTCAGTCCTCAGTAACCCACAGGGGAAAAAAAAATGTTTGAACAGTCCTTGAATCTGGAGAGATGGGAAGAGATCAGATCAGTTAGAACTTCTTGGGCCCAAAGAAAGAGTTTAGATTTTTATTATGCCATTAGAATATCTTGAGCAAGGAAATGATAGCATTTGATTTACACTTTTAAATTATAAGATGTGTAGTTTTATTATAGACGGCTAAGTTACATATAAATACAATAGGCAGTTAGACAGGGTTGAGCCCTCAAAAATTCAGGACGAAAGGTAAAAAACACCCTACACCTGTGGCTGGAGACACATCAGGTGGAGGCCAGGCATCAAACAAAAAGGATCAGGCCTACACCCTCCCCCAAGGGACTTGAGATAAGCGGTAACACCTGGCCTACTAAAGTCTAGATAGGCATCAGTCTGCTCACTTCAGCAGCACTTATACTAAATAAGCATCAGTCCCCTCAGTGGGTGACCAAGACCTCAAGATCTATCACCTATCGGAGAAGTTCTTTATGGTTTCCATGTACTCTTGCTACTTGACTTGCTTCCCTGTTCCTTGTTGAATCGCTATTACCTAAGGGACTATACTTGTAACGTTGATCACAGCTGTAACCCACGTTGTACCCATGTGGGTTTTGCTCTATAAAACTTCCCTGTAAAGAGAAGCCCCCTCCTGTCTCTCTCAGGAGATATATCTTTCTCCCTCAATAAATATTTTCCTACTTTTAAACCTCTGTTGTTCCTAGAATTCATTCTTCGATTTTAGAGAATACAAACTATGTACCAGACATCTAACAGTTTGGGAGATAGAATATGTTCACATTTCATCTGTCAGTCTCAATGAGACCTGTTTGTTTTCTTTCTTTAATATTTTTGCTGTGCTGGGGTTGAACCCAGGATCTTGTATATGCTAAGCAAGTACTCTACCTTGCACTGAGCTACATCCCAAGCCCATGTTTACCCTTCAAGGATTCACATAAGTAGTTTTAAAAGTCAAAAGAAATATGACATAATATGGCTTTACACTTCTGACATACAACTGGAGATGGAGGTAGGTTTAAGAGTGATTGATGTTACACTTCATCAATTTTTCTCACCTGTAATGTGGGAATAAAAATAATGTTAATAGTGTTAGAAGGCTGCTGAAGACGGTTATGTAGGACATGCCTTGTAAAGTCTTAAATTGTGTACAGATACAATCTTTAAAGTAGTTGGAGTCAAATGAAAACAGGCATACCATAAATTCTGAGAGATTGGGTTGGGAGAGCAGAGACGAAATCTTGGTAAGGGATTACAGACGAAAAATTGGAGTCGAAGGCTTAAGCAAAAGAAACATCCCGCTCCTTTAGCACTATTGCTCTTTGGTTCCTAAATCTGCTGGCTATCACTGCATTCAGCTTTCCCTTAATCTAAACAACTTTCTTGAATCCTGCCATAATCTGAATTTCCTATTTCCCCTCTCCCCACCACCCGTAAGAACCCTCCTCTAGGCCATTTCCGGAGAATTTTCTCTCAAAATTGTGAACTATGTTCAACGAGTGGCAGTATTTTTTTTTTTTTTTTTTGGTACCGGGGATTGAACTCGACCTTGGCAGTATTCTTGTTGGACATCCTCACCTGCGTACTAGTGCATCTTTCCCAGTGCATCGGCTGGGGGCATTCAGTCTCGTCAGCCGGTGTGTGAGAGGCCAAGCTTACTCCGAAACCATCATCAAAAACTGCACATAGGTTGCTGGGCCGCCACCTTCCCATCTGCGCTCCTCCGTGGCTCTCCGCAGCGACCGCCGCCGCCCGGTGATCACCGGCTTCGCTTCCTCTCCTCTTCCTGCCAAGCCTGCAGACGCCTGGCGCTGTGACTGTCGTCTTCGTCCCGCAGCGGGAGCCGCTCGTCTTGAGCTGCCATCCTGCGCCTTCTGCCCGCGGTTACTTCGGGACTCTCCGGGCGGTGACCGCAGCTCCGCCGCCTGTGACCCGAATGTCGGACCCGGGCGCTGACCCGGACTCTCTTCCTTCCCCACTTCTTGGGGGAGACGGCCCCTGCCCTCCCCCAGCCGCGCAGCAGCTCTGCCTCCCCCCGCAGCCCAGCCCCGCAGGCAGCACCAAAGCAGCGGTGGAAGAAGGTTCGAGCCAGCCCCGCGGGGCAGCTGCCCAGTCACTTCCACCTGGAGCAGCAGCACCGGCCCAGCCTAGAGCGCCTGAGATCCCGGGTTAGGCCGTCGCCTCCGCCCCGGGCCCAGCGGCCGCAGCCCCAACTGAGTGAGTCTGATGCCCGGCCAAGCCCCGCTCGGAAAGAGGTTTTAAAATCAAAGATGGGAAAATCGGAGAAAATTGTCCTTCCACAACTGCCAATTTTTGGTATACACTTGTATGAACAACCAAAGAAAAACAGACGGAAAAGCAAATGTAACTTGCTAGTAACCAAGATAGCCTCTGTAAAAAGGAATGAGAATAACTTGGCAGGATTCTGTTTCACATGATAGAATACAGAAGCAGGAAAGAAAACCTTTTAAAAATACTGAAAAACATTAAAAATATGGCCAGGAATTTAGCTCAGTGGTTTCCCCGCCTGCATTGCAAGCGCAAGGGCCCGAGTTCGATCTGCGGTACCAAAAACAAAACAAAACACATTAAAGAAATATGCACTTGAAGAAATCAGCATTTCTAACAAGTGGGCCAAAAGGAAAACTATGCTGCGGCAAAGTTCAGTGATCCGCAGTCCCCTAGTTTTCTTTCCAAAGCCCTCCTAGTCACTGGATGGGAAGCAGTGTTGAAAATTCCATCAAAAAGTAACCCGGGTGTGGTGGCTCACACCTGTAATTCCAGCACTCCGGAGGCTGAGGCAGGAGGATTGCTGTGAGTTTGATACCAGCCTGAACTACATGTGAGTTCCAGGTCAGTCTCAACTACATAGTGAGACCCTGTCTCAAAAAACAAACAAAAAAAACAAAAGAGAGAGCTAATGGTAGTACATTTAAAAATGCTCCTGAAAGTTCAAATTTAGATTTCAGTATGTGTGTAAAACACAGTTTTTCCCAAATCCCTGGACTCTTTAAAAGAATATTGGCACAAAAATGTGAATTTACCTTGTACCATTTGAGTGCAAAAGATGAGTTTAGAATACAAACAGCTTGTATTATATTTTGTTTTGTAAATACTGTATAACGTATTATGTGTATATTGTTCATATTTGAGAGGTACATTATAGTTAAGAAATATATATATATATAGTATGTATTTTGCCCTGCCAACATGGTAGGTATTTTGTATATGTAATGGACAAATTTTAACTGTGCTGAGGCACATGGAAGACTGATTTATTTGTACAACGTACCGAGATTTTTTTCAAGAAACAGCTATTAAATCTCAATGTGAAGATCTAAATGTGAACAGTTTACTGATGCACTACTGATGTTTAATCTGTGGCACAGTCATTGTAAACATGGGATTTGTCTGTTTCTCTAAATTCGTTTCTGCCTTCTAACTTGTAATTGTTGGAAAATTCCTATTCTCATTTTTACCAAACTTAATTTTAGTAATAATAATTTGGCCCTTCCCTCCCTTTAAAAAAACAACTGTACTTGAAGAAATGGGCCTTCCCAGTCACTAGGCTTTTTGACACGGCAGTGCAGTGCTAATTAAAGCCTGGATTCATCAACACCTCGTTTTATGAAGAAACCTAGGTAATCGCTCCCTGCTGGCCCCCAGTGGCCCAGACAAAAGCACTGACCGCGCCAAATCTCGCGTAACTGCGTCAGGGGCGGGCGGGGAGCTCGGATTATCGCGAGACCAGAGGATTTTCCCGCGAAGGAGAAGCGCGCGTTTTTCCCTGGCCGGGGGTTCGGTTACAACGCTGGCGGCGGGTCTCTGTGTGGGTTGTTCTCACGCGGCCTTCAACAGGAGTCCACCAGGTTCCTGGTGAGCGTGCAGCTAGCCATGCCCGCGGAGAGGCCTGCGAGCAGCGGCGGTGAGTGTTGAAATCTTTCTGAGGGCGGCGATCTGGGCGGGGATGGGCAGCATGGAGGCTGCGGCGGAGCCTGGCGGATGGAGCCGACCCCGGGGCTGGTATTGAGGGGGCGTTGAGACGCTGTGGGGAGGTGAGTGGGGGGCACTTAGCAGTCGCACCTGTTTTCCTGACATAGAGCATTTTAGACGGAGAGCTGCATTTTCCTGAACATCCCAGTTTATAAAGTGGGGTCAGGAAAAATTGGTGGTGATGTGGAGAGGTGATGCTGGCGCCTCGTAGTCTCTCTTGACCCTCTCTTTAAATGCATCAAGGTTAAGCAAGCATTTGGTAACCTTCAAATCCAGTTTAATAAAACTCTTTCCCCGCTTAGGGTCCCTAGCTGCAGAAATGGTTGAACAACCGGAGCCTGCCGTGATTACCCCAGCCATGCTACAGGAGGAAGAACAGCTTGAGGCCGCAGGACTTGAAAGAGAGCGGAAGATGCTAGAAAAGGTAATTTAGGAATCAAGTTCATCATTGTTAATTTTTCTGAATTGAGATTTTCCTGGAGATGTGATTTTTGTTCTTTCCTTTTGTGTTTAGTTGGAGCTTTCGTAAACTTTAAAACAGCTTTGGTACTTACCTTTTGTGAATGTTTACAGACGCTGACTTTGAGAAACCATCACACGTGCTTTAAATAGTGGGGTTGTGTGAGTCTTGAAATAACCATAAAAAGTGCTCTCATTTCTTTTGAGTAAGCATTTCAAATTGCTTTTTTGGCCATGATACTTCTTTCAAAGCCAGTAGCAAATGCTTTCCTTTGTCATCCTTATTTCCTTTTTAAAGTACTACCTTAACTATGCTTGGTGACAAACATTGATCTTTAAAACCTGTAGTCACAATTTACTACACCTTCTGTCTAGTAAATTAGTCAGAGGTTGGGCTGAAACGAGGTCTGATGACATCTTCCTCTGAAGTTATCAACTTTTGCCGGGGGGATTTTGAGACAGGGTCTCAACTATGTAGTTGAGACTGACCTGGAACTCACTAGGTAGCCCGGGCTGGTCTTGAACTCACAGCAATCCTCCTGCCTCAGCCTCCCGATTGCTGGGATTACAGGTGTGCACCACCACGCCTTGCTCAACTTTTGTTTTTTTTGAGATTGTTTTGTAGTTTAGGCTGGCCTTGAAGCATGGAGCCAGCGGGCCTTAAACTCAGCAGTGCTCCTACCTCAGAGCCTCCTGAGTAAAGGCATCATTTTGTTTCTTTAGGGTCTATCATTTCCTGATTTGTTTTTGTAGGTACTGCCCCTAAAACATAGGAGAGAATTAGTGTTTGTTGATTAACTAAAGATGATAAAGTAATTTTTGTGATGTACTTTGTGTCCCACACAAAATTATGAAAATATAATACGTTTAATAACTGGCTGTGTAACTCGGTGACCTGCAAAATAGAGGTCCTGGGGCCAGTGCCCAGAATAAAGTGAACTTCAGAAGTTGTAAGAGTGATGTGTTAGTACTTATCTTGAGTAGTGCATCTTTAATTTTATTTTAAGTTTTCAAAATGCATAGTACTGTATATATTTTCTGCTGAAAATGAGTAGAATGACCTGCTTTTTTTACTTCTGCTATTTTATTTTAATTAATTAATTAATTAAATTTTTTTTGTTACGGGTGATTGAACTGTGTCTAGACCTTGCGCTTGTGAAGCAGGCAGTGGAACCACTAAGCTAAATCCCCGGCCCACTTCTGCTTTTTTACTCCTTCTTCTTTTTTTTTTGGGGTACTCGGGGGTCCCTTAATGAGACAGGTGGTGGAACCACTGGGCCACATTCTTGGCCCTGTTTGTAGTACTTTCGATTGAACCCAGGGCCTTTGCACCCAGCTACATTTCAAGCCCTTTCAACATGTTTTTACTGTTTAGACCATCTTGCCCACTTTGGGCTTGATACTTGTGCTTCTGCCTCAGCCTCCCAGAGTGTTGGAATTATAGACTTGCATCACCATGTCCAGCTACCAAAGAGTAATTTAAATCCACATTTAATCTTTCTATGTTTGGTTTTTTTTTGGCACTGTGATCTGAACTCATGACCTTGAGGTTGGGAAGCATGCACAGTGCCACTGAGCTAAATCCCCGGACTCCACTTTAAATCTTTACATTGTAAAAAGTACACAGTTCCTTTCATTGTTAATAATGTGTAGTTTTCTCACAAGTAGGATTGTGGTCCATTTCTATTAAATTGTCTCTGTAGGTATTGAAAGGCTGATGAATTTTTGCCCTTGAGCCTTACAAAAAGTTAATGCTTTGGTGACTAGAAAAGTCTTAGAATAACTTTCAAAGACTCCTTATTTGAGATTTTAAAACATTTCCCCAGAGGTCACAAAACTTAAAGCCTCCAAATGTGTTGAAAGAACAACATATTTATAGGCATGTGTTTAAAAATACAAAGAGAGAAATAGCTAGTTTAAATTCCTTGATGAGAAGCATTTACTTTGCCTTAGGAGATTCTAACTTTTGTGAAGAGCCTGGAGAATGACTTTGACATTCATTTATTTTGTATGCCTTTTCATCTGTATTTTCTTTTAAAATAAGTCATTATTAGGAAGCTTGCTGAGTAGTCTTAATGCCTTTGAAGTGAGGAGGAAGAAGGTTAAGAATGGTGAGGCTTCTTAGAAAGGTAAGAGGAGAGTGGTCCCTATAGTACAATATTGTGTGTAAACTAAAATAGAACTTCAAAACAACTGGGAGTGGTGTTAAAAGTTAATGGGGTAGACAGTGGAGAATTTCTACCCTCAGTGTCCTTTGGCATACTGACGAATCCTAACCACCAAGATGTGTTCCAGTCAGTGCTTTCCACAGATAGAGCTACTGTTTGGTACTATAAAATAAAGAAGCTGCTGAATCAGAGAGAGATGGTATGTATCTGTAATCCCAGCACTTTGGGGTTACAGTAGGATGGCAGTTTGAGCCCGGCCTGGACAGTTGAGCTGCTTAGCAAGACCTTCTCAAAAAAAAAAAAAAAATTGGAGGCTGGGCTTGGCACTAGTTCAATCAGAAGGCAGGCCCTAGCTTCAATACCCATTTCCATAATGATGATGATGATTATGATCATGGTGATATGAAAGTCTTGCAGAAATTTACAGATTGGATTTGAAGATTAACCATTGGTGTGGTTTAAACATATTATTCCCTAATGGCATTCTAAAGCTTTAACTACTTTTAACATAAATGGTAATTTATTCTGGACAGGATTTAAAGTACTAATGGCTGTATCTAATTTAAATCCCAAATATAGTAGGGGCTTCCCCTACTCTTTAAATTCCCCAGCTCTTTTTAAATTTTTTGTATTTTGAAATTGCCTGAGTTGCTTAATTGCCCAGGTTGGGCTTGAACTTGTGATCCTCTTGCCTTAATCTTCAGAAGTGGGATTACAGGCACATGCCACCACATCTGATGATTAATGTATTTATTGACATTTAACTTTTCTGTAGTGAACATATATTACTTTCTTAGATGTTTAACTGTTGTTGTTGGTTTTATAATAGACATTGAAAGAAAACTAGAGTGACATTAAGAAAACAAGTCCATAGGAGTAATGGCTTAGATATCATAAGCTAGTTTAGCAAAAACCACCCAAGGTATAGTATATAATGTGGGGGAGGGGCATTATTTAGAATTTAGAAATGAATTCCCATCATCCATGTCCTATCCATTCTGTCCATCCTTCCTGCTGGGGATTTAGTTTGGTCTGGCACATGCTAGGCAAATGCTATAAGATTCTTCTAATTTGAAAACAATTAGGGTTTTTTAGAAGGTTGGCTTTATTTTTGCTTTTTCATGCTTTTGGTTGAAAAGTCAGTGGTTTGGTTTAGTTGAAACACAGATAGTAAGAATCTGCCAAAAAGTAGCTGATACCCTTAATACATTATCAGAAATTTTTTTTAAGACTGTATAAAATGAGAGGTATGTGTTACCAAATCTCTAAAAGTCCTTTTAATTATAAAGTTTCTCATTTAGGATTTTTAGTTCAGTTAGAGGTTAATATTAATGTAAGAAATTATACCATAGTTGATAAAGTTTTTGACCTGGGCTCTTATGTATCTGTCCTTTACCCCACTTGATAGTAAGGCTGAGAAGGAATCATTTATTAGTCCATTAGACAACACAGGTGTTACCTATTTCCTGAAATCTAATTTCTCTGATTTTATTAATTTTTTGAATTTTTCAAGATTTATGGGTCTAGTATAAAATTTAGTATTTAAATATAAGTCCATTTTGTTTTGATTTCGTGAGACTGGTCTCAGTAAATTGTTCAGACAAGACTTGCACTTCTGATCCTCTTGCCTTAGCCTCCAAAATAGCTGGAATCATAGGCATTTGCCACCATGCATGGCTTGTCATTTAATACTTAGTGTTTTCAGATATATCACTCTCATTTCTTTTCTTTTGAGGCAGGGTCTCACTATGTAGTTGAGACTGACCTGGAACTCACTATGTAGCCCAGGCTGGTCTCGAACTCACAGTGGTGATTCTCCTGCGTCAGCCTCTCGAGTGCTGGGATTACAGGCCTTCGCCACACCCGGCTGTATCATTTCATCTGTAATGAAAATTAGTCTTCCTGTGTTCATCTGCCTGGGAACTTTTTGGAATTTGTGGATTAGGTGCTGCAGTGTGTGTTTGTTGATAGGTGTTAAGGAGCTTACATGTAAGGGTATGATACTGTAGTTTTCAATCCTAGATATTTTAGGGTTATTGATTTCTTCTTGCCTCTATTCTGATTTAAATAGTTTTTTTTTTCATTGAGTTTATTGGTACAATAGTTGGGCATGGTGGCGCATGTCTGTAATCCCAGCACTTGGGAGGCTGAGGCAGGATGATCACTGTGAGTTCGAGACCAGCCTGGGCTACATAGTGAGTTCCAGGTCAGTCTCAACTACTGAGTGAGACCCTCTCTCAAGCCCCCCCCCAAAAAAAAGTTTATTGGTACATTTTAGGAATACAGTACATTCATCATTCATCATTGGGATCTTGTGCCTTTACATGACATATATTTGTTCTTATTTTTTCCCCATTCCCCTGTCCCCTTTTCTCATATTTTTCCCCCTTAACTTTCGCCTACTCCTCCCACTTTCCCTATTCCTTTAGACCTTTTCTTCCTATTACACTGTATCAGTAATACATTTTGATCCTTATTTAACACTTTTAGTTTTTCATACTAGAGAAACTGTTCTGTATTTATACATTTGTTCTAATTTCACTTAAGAGTATGGTATCATTGTGCTTCCACTTAGCTATAAATGTCTCTAGTTCTTTTTCTTTATGGCTGAGTAATCATTTTATTAAAAAAAATCTTTAGTCCCTAGTTGATGGGAAATTGGGCTATTTCCAAGTTTTAGCTATTACAAACTGTGCCTCTATAAACATGGGAGAGCATATATCACTGTGATATGATTCTGTGGTATGATCTTTTGGGACCCAGCAGAGGAATATCTGGGTCAAATGGGAATTCTAATCCTAGTTGTTTAGGTATCTCCATATTGATTTCCACAGTGGTTGCACCAGTCTGCACTCTGAACAACAGTTCGGAGTTGTTCCTTTCGGGAGAAGGGTTCCTTTCTCCCCACAACCCTGCCATCATTTGTTATTGGTTAATTTGATAGCAACCATTCTTTCTGGGGTGAGGTAGAGTCTGTGTTGTTTTCTTCTGCATCTCTTGAATGACCAGTGATGTTGAATACTTTCATATGTTATTTGCTGCTTTACTGAGAATTGTCTGTTCATTTCAGATATCCATTTTCAAATTGGGTCTTTATATTTGGGGGGCCTGTTTTGTTTTTTTTTTTTTAAGTTCTTCATGTATTCTAGATAATAGTCCTTTGTCTGAGGAGCAGCTTTTAAAATTTTTTTCCCACATTGTAGGTTGTCTCAGCTCTGTTGGTGGTTTCTCTTGCAGTGCAGAAGTGTTTTAAAAAGATGAGATCTCAGTTATTTTATTTTATATTTTTTTGCTTTTGTTTTTTTGGTACTGGGGCTCAAACTAGGGTACTTGTGCTTACGAGGCATGCAGCCGAACCACTGAGCTAAATCCCCAGCCCCCTCAGTTATTGATTCTTTGTGCTAGTTCTTGTGTTACTGAGGATTTGTTCATAAAGTCTTTTCCTATTCCAGTGTCTTCAAGAGTTCTACCTAACTTATTTTCCAGTCAGTTTTTAGTGTTTCTGTTTTAATATTTATATCTTTAGTCCACTTGGATTTTAGTGTAATGCCTGGTGAAAGATTGGTTTCTAGTTTTTTTGTTTTTGTTTTTTTTTTAATGGTACTGGGATCAAACTCGGAACCTTGCACTTGTGAGGCAGCAGCGGAACTACTAAGCTAAATCCCTGGGCCAGGGTTCTAGTTTTAATCTTTGGCCAGTTGAAATCTAGTTTTTCTAACACCATTTATAAAAGAGGCTATCTTTCATCCAGTGAGGATGGTAGGTTCCTTTGTCAAAGATGAGGTAGCTGAGTATGTCTGGAGTTGTTTCTGCATCTTGTAATTTATTCCACTGATTCTTGGGTCTGTTTCTTTGCCAGTACCATGCTGTTTTTATCACAGTGGCTTTGTAGTACAGTTTCCAATTGGGGATTGTGATACTCCTTGCCATGTCTTTGTTGCCTAGAGCTTTTCCTATTCTAGGTCTCTAGTAGTTCCAAATGAATTTTGGAATTGTTTTCTCTAGTTCTGTGAAATATACTGTTGGGATTTCAATCAGGATTGCATTGAATCTGTATAGCAGTTTTGGAAGTATGGCTATTTTCACTATATTGCCTCTTCGTACCCAGGAACAAAGGACATCTTTCCATTTTCTTATACCCTCTTGTATCACTTTTCAGAGTGTTGTAGCTTTCAGTTTAGATATCTTTTGCTTCCTTCATTAGATTGATTCCTGTATATTTCATTTTTTTTGGATGCTATTTTGAAAGGAATTGTTTCCCTAATTTCTCTCAGTGAATCTGTTATTTGTGTACAAGAAGGCTCATTGATTTTTGAGTGTTGGGCTTGTGTCGGGCTACTCAATCTGTCAATTGCGTTTAGAAGTCTTTTGGCAGTGCTTTTTGGGTCTTCTATGTAGAGAGTATCATAGTCAGCAGATAATGACAGTTTAACTTCTTCCTTTCCTACCTTTATTCCCTTTATTTCTTTCTCTTGTCTAACTGCTGTGGCTAATGTTTCCAAGATTATATTGAACAGGAATGGTGTTAGTGGGCGACCTTGTTTTATTCCTGATTTTAGCGTGAAGGTTTTCAATTTTTGATGATTTAGTATGATGTTGGCTGTTGGATTTTGTAAATACCCTTTATCAGGTTGAGATAAAGACCATATCTTCCAATTTTCTGCAGGGTTTTTATCATGAATGGGTGTTGAATTTTGTCGAATGCTTTTTCTGCATCTGTTGAGATAGATGATCATACTGTTTTTGCCTTTGACTCTGTTAATATAGTGTATTACACATACTGATTTATTTATGTTGAACTATCCTTGCATCCCTGGGATAAATCCAACTTGGTCAAGGTGTCTGATCTTTTTTTTTCTTTTTGTTCTTGCTGGGGATCAAACTTGGGACCTTGCCTTTCCAAGTCAGGCTGGGACACCATTGAGCTAAATCCCTGGATATGATCTTCTTGATGACGTTGTGCATTCTGTTTGCCAGTATTTTATTGAGGGGGTTTTTGCATCTACGTTCATTAGGGAGATTGGCCTGCAGTTCTCTTTGTTGATTGGGTCTTTCCCTGGTTTTGGAATCAAAGTAACACTTGCTTCTAGGAATGAATTTGAAAGTATTGCTTCCCTTTCAATTTCATTGAAAAATTTAAGAGTAGTGACAGTAGTTCTCTAAATGTCTTGTAGAATTCAGCAGTGAATCCATCAGGACCTGGAATTTTCTTTGTTGGTTAACTTGTAATTATGTTTTCAATTTCATTGATTGTAATTGGGGTGTTTAGAATTTTTATATCTTCTTTGTTCAACTTTGGTGATTCATATGTATCTAGGAATCTGTCCATTTCTTCTGTGTTTTCCATTTTATTAGATTACAGGTTCTTGAAGTAGGTATTAATGATCCTATGGATTTCTGATGGATGGGCCTGGGTTTAGCTCAGTGTTGTCGTTGCCTTCTCGAAATTGAAAGGTCCTTAGTTTGATCCTCGGTACTGCAAAAAAAAAACAACAACAAACAAACACTGGATTTCTGATGGATATGTTGTGTTAACCTTTTTCATTTCTAATTGCATGGATTTGAGCCGTTTCCTTTTTTTGATAAGGTTGGCTAAGGGTTTATCGATTTTATTTATTCTCTTTAAAATATTTATCTTTTCTGTCAGTGTGACTTTAAAAAAGCTTCCTCCTCTACCACTAGACTATTTTAGACCCTTAGAATTTACTGGATGAATATGTTATATTACAGTTATGTGGTTGTATTACTGTTACAGAAGTTTGTAATTAAGTATAGAGAAGTGAAAGATAAAAGTACTAGGGAAAAGAAAACTAAACGATATAGGGCAAAGCTTAGGAGCAAACAACTAGGGAGAAGAAAGAGGATGAGAAATTAGTTGACTTTTAACAATATAATTTTAAAATTCTAAAAATAGATGTGGTAGCCCTTAGCCAGTGAGTCTTTATAAAGTTACTTGTTCTATTTTTTAAAAATGAAACTATCTTTAGTAAATTAAAACTAAACTATCTTTAGTAAATTAATCTTGTAAAAATCTTTTTCTGTTTCACTTGTTTATTGGTGTATTTAAAGCAAACAGTAGTTACATTTATCATTGGACTCTTATAAAGCATGATATATGTTGGTTCTTTTTTTTTTCCCCATACCCCTGCAAGAATCTTTTTTCATTAGTCTTAGAAAATATTTTAAACCCGAAGTGTGTTTACCCATTTTTATTAAACATTTTGTAAAAAAAAATCACTCAGAATACTTAAGTAATTATGGAAAACTTCTCTTTGGATAGGCTCGCCTATCTTGGGACAGAGAATCTACAGAAATTCGGTATCGGAGGCTTCAACATTTGCTTGAAAAGAGCAACATCTACTCCAAATTTTTATTGACTAAAATGGAGCAGCAGCAATTAGAGGTATGTATGTGTGATTAATTATGACTAGGACCTTAAAATTATTCTAAACACCTTTATTTAAGTATAAATTGTATATAGTAAAAAGCATGTGTTTCAGCTTTATACTTTGATGAATTTTCACCAGTGAAATTATAGACCAATGATGGTGAACCTATAGCATGAATACTGCAGCATGTTGTTTGTTATCTCAGTGGTATAGACCCAGTCAATACAAATCAAGATAATAGTGTACATTTCTATTCCAAATCGAGTTCTTTCTGGGCATTAGGGATTTGCTGCCACTGCCGCCTCCGCCTCCCCCTCCCTTCTCCACCTTTTCTCTCTCTCTTTTTTTTTTTTTTTTTTTTTTTTTTTTTTTTTGGTACCAGGAATTGAACTCAGGACCTTGTGCCTGCAAAGCAGGCATAGTTTCCCTGAGCTAAATCCCTAGCCCAAGAAATTTGCTTTCTGTCACAGATCACTGTTCCTTTTTAGAATATTATGGTGTGGTACTGTAAAATTATATATTATTTGCTATTTTATATATATTTGGTGTCATCCCTGTTTGTTCCTTGGATCCTAAAATCCTTGGACTCTCTAAAGTGCTTTGTCTCTTTGTATGCCAATGAGTTAAATGATAGCTTCAGAGTGCTTACTGGTTTTTAGAAGAACCTTGGCACGATTGGAGGGTTGGAACTTGAGCTCTACTTCCTACTTTCTAGGGTGGGGATGGGGGCAGAAGATAAGGCTGGTCACCAGTTACCACTGATTTAATGGATCAGTAATGATTATATAATGAAGCTCAGTAAAGCTCCCAAAAGACTTGATGTTGAAAGCTTCTGGTTAAGGAACACATGGAGATTCTTGGCAAGGATAGGGAAACTGCCTCCTACCACATACTGTGCCTCACTTTACCTGTGTCTTCATGATGTGTTCATCAGTATATCTTTTATAATTAACCAATAAAAAGTAAAGTATTGTTATCTCAATCTAGCAAGTTAATCCAATTAAGAGAGGGTGATGTGTGAACCCCAATTCGTAGTGATATAGGACATATGATATAGGGATGTTGTATGGATCTCAAATAATATGAGAAATATTATAACTTCTAACCTGCTGTATGCCTTGATGCACTGAGTTCCTGTTCTCTAAAATTGAAAAATGAATTCTAAGAATAATGGAGATAAAAGGTAGGAAGTATTGAAAGATAGCTTCTGTCTAAGAAATAGAGAAGGGGTTTTAGAAATTGTTTATTGGCAGAAGACCCCATTTTTCAAGGGAGTTGTTTGTTTATTTGTTTTCTTTTTACCTTGGGCTTGCAAGGCAGGTGCAACACCACTATGATAAATCCCCGGCCCGCACAAGGGAGTTTTATAGAGCAAAACCTTGAGGTGAGGTGGTTATAAGGTGGGACTAAAGTATAAGGTTACAAGTTTAGTCTTAGGTAATGTTGAATAATTGGGGAAGCAACTCAAGTAGCATGTATACATGGAATGCAACAAGGGTTTTCTGAGAGGAGTGGGCTAGGGAGGTTTTGCTTCCTCAGGAAAGTTGCCTGTTTAGCATATCAATCATTGCAGTTCCTTGCCTCCAGCCACTGTTGTGATGGAGTCTTATCTTCTGTTTTGACTTCTTGGAGGGCCTTGGAACCCTGTCTGACTGCTTATAATATTTCTAATTTAACTGTCTATGATAATAGAAGCACAGGTAAAACAATCTGGGAGATAGAGATTGCAGTCTGAAGTGAGGAGAGGGGGAAATCTTAGGAACTGATCCTTCAGTGCATGGGACCTGACACAGTTGCTTGATATGTGGAAAAAAGAAACACTTGGCACTGAGGTAAATCCCTAGACCTTTTTTTGAGAAAAGGTCTTGCTAAGTTTCTCAGGCTGGGCTCAAACTTGTGATCCTTCTGATTTAACCTTCCGGGGAGTCCTAGAATTTGAAATTACTATTACCTTATTGTGCTGTTCCTATTGTACTCATTATGTGATACATTGTATCATTGTGTTTATTATCTCCCCACTGTGATGTATAAAGATTTAAGAACTGGTGCAAATTGAGAGACTACAATGAATCCCTACATCCCTATTACCTATTAAGAGTTACTAATTGAGATTTTTGCTACATTTACCCCCTTCTTTCCCTTTTTGGAACCTTTATAAAGAATTTTGTGTTGTAAAACCCAAAATGAGGATGTACTCAATGAGTTACAAGGCAAAAAATATTTTAGTCACCTTTTGGAAAAAATGGGTTGTATCCTTGCTTTAAAATTTAAGATACAGAGCCAAGGATGTAGCTCAGTGGTGCTGCTGCCTGCCTTGAAAGTGCAAAGTCCCAAGTTCAGTTCCTGGTACCAAAAAAAAGAAAAATAAAAATTTAAGGTACATCTGTAACAGAGTTTAGTCTAGGAATGACCATTCCCCCACCCCAATCTGGTGCCCTATATTTAGGGTGTTCTACTTTCCCTGAGGGAATCTGAGGTATTCCTTTTTCCTGATCTCTTGGGACACAGGAAATTGCTGTACTTGCTTCTTTTTAGTATCTATTTTCCTACCCTTGGTTGCTCACACTATGAGCTTATCATGGCTTAGTGTAATTAATATCTTGAGACAACAGACTATAACTTTCTTTGTGCAGCTTTGTCTTTTTTGGTCCTTGACATTGGAATACTAGCAGCTCTCAGTTTCAGTTTTGTCTATGATTTGATTTTGGCTTCTGTTTGGATTCTCCTTCCTTTAATTGTTCTTGCCTTTAGGCAAGAGTTGGCCTTCAGAAGACTTGATCTCTTTTTCCTTTTTGTCAGTGATCTCTGTCTTTTTGAAAAGCATTGTGTTATGGTTTGGGTCATGCAGTTTTAGGGGGAGCTTTTTCTGAGGTTGCTGAATCTAGAGTGTGTGATTAATTCAAGGTGCAATGCTAAGCTCAAAGGCACTAGGATAAAAGGTGTGAGTGCTACCTCCCCTAAGTCTGGATAAGATATAAGGGATAGAAAGAGCTGTTGTTGCCCCTTGTTGCTTTTGCTACTATGTGAGCTCCATGAACTGTTTCTCCTCTGTGCTGCCCCTCTGCCATGTTCCATCCTGTTTGGAGCCTAATTGTGGAGTGAAACCTCTACAAAGTGAGCTACATAAACCCTTTTAATTGTAATTTTGGGTGTTAGGTGTTTTGTCTCAGCAAGGAGAGAAGAGTAAAACACTGTTTAATATATTTTGTCTGGATTGTTGTTTATGACAGTAAATCTGTTCCCTGTTATTCCTTTTTTTTTTTTTTTTTTTTTTTTTTTTTTTTTTTGACAGGGTCTCACTATGTAGTTGAGACTGACCTGAAACTCACTATGTAGCCCAGGCTGGTCTCAAACTCATAGCTGCGATTCTCCTGCCTCAGCCTCCCAAGTGCTGGGATTACAGGTGTGCGCCACCACGCTTGGCTCCATAAAGATTTGAAACACAAGTTTTCCTTGTTTTATAATTACTGTGTTTTTTTCATTGTGAACAGTTTTGTGAAAGTTGAGATGTATGTTTTAAATGTATTTCCCACTAAGATACTAAGAATCAATTATTTTATAGGAACAGAAGAAGAAAGAGAAATTGGAGAGAAAAAAATCTATAAAAGTTGTAAAGGTAATTATTATTATTATTTTAAAGCTCAAGATTGAATCCTGGGCCTTATGCATACTCAACATTACCACTGAACCATACCTCTAGCCCTTATGAAAATATTTATGTTGTCTTAAGTATTGAAGAAAATCTTTTGTGTTCTTTTTTTCTTTTGGTACCAGAGATCGAACTTGGGTCCTTGTGCTTGCGAGGCAGGCAGTGGAACCACTGAGCTAAATCCCTGGCCCATGTGTTCTTTTGATTGATTAACTATATTTTACTTCATTTGTTAGCTGCATAGATATGTTTAAAATTTGTGTCTCGGTATTTAAGAAGTGGAAAGAGAGCCAAAGTATGACCTCTTCATATTCTAATTCTGTGTACTATTTTTCATCATTCCAAAATATATTCACTTTGAAAGAAACTACATTTTGTATTGCAAGACATTTTATAAGTAGCAAGCACTTTTGGAGACCATAACGAATAGTTGTGCTAATGAAAAAAGAAACAAAGGTCACATTTGTTAGATTTTCCTTTATGTTAGATGTTTTCTATATGCCTTCTCACTTAATTTCTTAAAACCCCTTTATACATCCACTTCACCTATAAAGAAGCTGATATGAGGAGATAAGTTATTCACTCTTTGTTTTTGTTTTTTTTTGTACTGGGGATCAAACTCAGGTCCTTGTGCTTGCCAGGCAGGTGGCAGAACCAGTGAGCTAAATCCCTGGCCCCTCATTCACTCTTTGTAGAGTATATTACTCTGTTCACAGGTTCTATAATTATGAAGTTGTCTTCCCATTGAAGTTATTGTAACCCCACACTCAATGTTCTTGGTGCTTTCATTCATTATTATTATTATTATTTTGGTACTCAGGTAGCAGCACCCCTGAGCTAAATCTCTGGCCCTTGGTGCTTCATTCACAGATATGCTTGTGTACAGAGCAGCAAAGTTTTTTTTTTTGTACCAGGGATCGAACACGAGACCTTGCTCTTGCGAGGCAGGCAGCAGAACTGCTGAAATAAATCCTGGCCCAGCAGCAAAAATTTTTAGTCTCCCAACACCCTCATTACCAACTGAGGTCAAACACAGCAGGCTGTGCCTTGTTTCAGTTCTCATACAGTGAACATGTCTTTTTCATGATGTATATATGTTTTTGTTCTTATTCGTGATTTTTGTAACGTAAAAATCGTCTCCAAAGAGGTTTAAAGTGCAGTCTACTGTCTAATGTTTCCAAGTGGAGAAAGGCTGTGATGTAACTTGTGGAGAAAGTACATGTATCAGATAAGATTATTTTAGCCATGAGTTACAGTGCTGTTGGCTGAGTTCATTATTAAACTACTGTATATTAAATAAGGTATCTTTAAACAGAAACACGCTAAACAGTTCTCTGTTGGTTGGTTGATGAAAACGTTGTAACTACAGTAACTTGTTATAACTGCAGGAATCTAAGTTTGTATTTTTCCTAGAGGCAATGATTATAGACTTCATAGAGCATAATTAGTGCAAATAATAACAGTTAACTACAACTTGCTGAAGTTGCATAATCTGATAAATAGTAATACCAGAATTTTGACCCAGTATTTTTAGAGCTTTAGTTTAGCTTCTATACTAACTACCTTTATTAAAGGCAGTATCAAAATACCAGTGGTCTAAATAGGTAGGGCATCAGTAAATCCAGTTACAGTGTTTGAGTCCTCATCTGGTTAATGATAATAAGTACCTGGTAAAAGAATTTGCAGATTATTTTGCAACAAATTTATTCAAAACTCATATTTGACTCACTTTGTGTCAATCATTTGACTGATACATTGACTCTTTGAATATCATTATTTGGTTACCACCTTCACTAATGTTTATATTTTCCTCTCTGTACTTTCAGTTGTATTTAACTTAAAAATTTTACTCAAAATGGGTATTTCTTTCATATCTCACCCTATCCAGTGAATAGCTCCAGGATAAATACAGTAAAAGCAGATACACATATTTCAAAACAAAAACACCTTTGTTTAATTTTGATTTGAATAAGGAAGAAAAAAGAGAAAAATAGAACCCTTGGGAAGAAGCAGGGGATTAAACTCATGAACAAGTTATGGTAGGAAAATGTAGAGGATTGTATATAGGTAAGTGCAATAGTGAGTAATGTGGATATAGATCAACTAAGGAACATTTCTCTCAATTAGTTATTTTGTTTTGCAGTTCTGTGGATTGAACCCAGAGCTTTGCATTGAACTGTATCACTAACTTTTAAAATTTGAGTCAGGGTCTCACTAAATTGCTCAAGATGGCTTCAAAGTTACAGTCTTACTCAGTAGCTGTGATTACAGGCCATGTGTCGCCATGCCTGGCAAATCTGTTGTCTTTTAATATGTAATACCATAAAAATCCATAGTAAAATTAATATTTTTAATCTGTTTTGTAGGGTAAAACTTCAGTTACTGCAAGTGAACAGAATCTAGGTAAATTTTTTTGTTCTTTTGAAGCATATGTGTATATATATTTGTTTTAATTGCTATTAAAAGTAAATTTTTTTTACAGTCATGAAAAAGAAAAGAGGAAGAGAAGATGAGTCATACAGTATTTCAGAAGTCATGTCCAAAGAGGTAAAAATGGGGATGGTAGTTAATATTCAGTTTAAGTAAAACCTGCTACAAGTTTTCAACACTCTAGAGCTGTAAGAATTACTGTTGCTAGGGCCAGGAATTTAGCTCAGTGCTTGCGAGGCACCAGTTAAATCCCCAGCCTGTTTAATATATTTTTTTAAGTGAACCTACCAAAAAATTTGAACCCTTGTGCTCTTACAAATCTGCTGAAATGAAACACATTAATCTGTATAACCAATATGCATTAATATACTGGAAAAATAAAAGTACTGTAAAAATCTAAAACTGTTAGAGTTTGATAGATTTTAGACTAATCTGAAAATGTCATCTTTCAAAGACTTATCTTTTAAAATGACAGCTTTTTATCTTCAGGACATATTGGTTTTTTCTTCAGTTTATGCATGTATCAGTAATAAAGTGATTTTCTGAATCATTATGTCTTTATGAAATATGTAGTAGTGGACTTACAGCATTGTATTAGGAACTCTGGATAGAGAAGAGAGAAGGATTCTATGCCAATGTATTTAGAGGCCTAGAGTTTAGAATTACAGTATTTCTGTGTGGAGAGGGGATAGTAAGAGTGCTGTCTGACTAGAGAAGAGTTTTAGGAAAGAAGATGCCATCCGCTGTTTGTTGAAGGAGTCCAAGGTTGGCTTAATCAGAAACTGTTATTATATATAGTATAACTTCATGTAGTACTTATATTGTCTTAAAAACTTTGTTCCTGTTTCTTGTTGAAGGAAGACTTTTAGGAAACTGAAATCTTACTCCTTTTTAATAAACTTTCTCATTTTTGTCTCATAAAGCATGAATGAATTAGAGTGTGTTCATTTGACAAATTTAATATGTTTCGTGTTTTTGTCACATTGTTACGTTTTTAAAAGACCTACTTTTATTATCACTTACGTATTTTTCTTTTCCTGGAAATTCAGACTCTTTAGTTCTTAATAAATTAGGAAGTTATATGTGACAAGTACTTTAAGGATGAAGTCTGATACCTTTTTTAAAGTTAAAAATAATATGTAACCACAAAAATTGATTACCTAATCAGCTAACAGTTGCATATACATTATACTTTATTGAGATTTAGCCAGACATGCAGCTGCTCATTTGATACAAACTATATCATGAGTAGGTGAGATCCACTGGTAAAGAAGGGGAACATTTTTTGTCTTAGCCTACATCCAGTGAGAAACACAGAAATAGTCACTGAAATTGGAAAAGTAGATACTCTTGAGAACCTCGAGAAGGGGTCCTTAGGTATAAGGTTCATAAAAGTTTTTATCTAGGATGTGACATCTGCAAGCTCTGAGTAGAACATATAATACATGTTAAAATAAAAAATTATAAGGCACATTGCCATTAATCTCCCTCAAAATATTCCCCCATTGTTTTGAATGTGCATCCATCATTTTTGCCCATTTTCTGAATCATTTGTGGAAGCCTTCTTTCATGAGTTGTTAAAATTTTTATTGCTGCATGTTTGTAGAATGTAGTGATTACCATTGTCATGAGTGTGCGATTGAAACAATATTTCTGAGTGCCATCCCACAGATAGGCAGGCTTGTAAGAGCGTGATCTGTTCTCATCCACCTTATTCACCATATCTGCTGCCCCCCCACCCCCCACCCCATGTAACTTCTGGTCCTTCCGGAACCCAAAGTCAAAATGGACACAAAAGGTGAATGCTTTGAATCATTTTAGGCCACTGAAGCAGATACAACACAAGTTTAAAAGACATGAGAGGACTTCCAGGATTGCGTCAGAAAGTGGAAAGACTGATGGGATAAGTGTGTTTGCAGTGAGGGGGAATATTTTGAGGTCCCTCTCAAAATAGTGGCATTGTGTCTTACTATAAAAATTTTTTCAAAAGTCGGTATGGTAGCACACGTCTGTAACCCCAGAACTTGTCATTGGTGTGAGTTCAAGTCCAGCCTGGGCTGCATAGTAAGTTCAGTGAAATCCTGTCTCAACCCCCCCCCATTTCCCCAATCCTCATAGGACTATTTTTTAAAACCATAGCCATAGTAGTTAGTTATATTATTTAAAGTTGGTAGAAATTTTCTAATGTAAGTAATTTTCCAATAATAGGCTCATATATTTTTTATAGTTCAAATCAGGATCTGAATTGTGCACATGGATTGCATTTAACTAGTATATCCCTTAGGACTTTTTTTTTTTTTAAACTTTGACGGTTGTGTGGTTTGGCTTATTTTTGTAAATTATTTGTATAATTTTGTATAATTTCCTCCATTCCGAATTGTGCTTACTGTATCCCCATAATTTCTCTGCCCTTTTTATTTCCTGTAAATTGATCTGGAAGTTGGTGACTGGCATTTAATTTTCAGTAAGACTTTTTCCTACATGATGCATGTTTTGATTCATTTTAAATTATTCTCCACAAAGGTTCATTTCATTTAAAGAATAGCTCTTCTTTTGGTTCCCTATATGAAATCTTTTAAGCCTTAGGATAGGAATATGGATTGCATACTTTGTGTACACGTGACCCGCGTGCATTCATGTGTATGTATAGTGTCAGCCATTTACTGGCATGTTCTGTCAAGCCTATGCATCTTAAATTTCATATTTGATCAGTTTCTTGAAAGTATTTTATTCTCTGTATCTTTAACACATAATGGTCTCATGTTCTCTTTGAAATGTGCATTTTCTTTGATGATTAAGCCTAGTAACAAATTTTTCAGGTAATTTGGTATAACAGTTCTTGGTTAAGTCACCAGGTGATACTCTTGTATGGTTAGGGTAGGTATTTCAAAATCAGAACACTTTGTATGTCCCACTTCTTTTTGCTTTTTTACCTTTTACCTTTTATTGCAGGCTTGTAGGTCTATCCATAGATGCCCAAAGTGGTTGAAGCAGGGTTGGCAAACCAATTCTGTTGCATGGCATTTTTTTGTTTTTTGTTTTGGTACCGGCGATTGAATTTGGGACTTTGCACTTAACGAGGCAGGTGGCAGCAGCACTGAGCTAAATCCCTGGCCCAACACACTTATTGTATAAATAGCCAGATAATATTTTGAGTGTTTGAGGTAACTACTCAAACATGAACTTTGCTGTTGTAGCTGAAAATGGCCACAGCAGACTGTAAACAAATGAGCCTGACTTTGTTTCATCTAAAACTACAGAAATGGACTGCCAGCTGAAGTCGGTTTGCAGATTGTTGTTTGCTCACCAGAGGATTGTTACCACGTGTGCATTTCCACTTACTCACATTAGAAAGGAAAAAAAAAACCAAGGCTGGGAAAATCTCTTTTTTTTGTACTGGGGATTAAACTCGGGTCCTTGAGCTTGCACGGCAGGCCACCGAACCACTGAGCTAAATCCCCGGCCCTTTTCTTTTTTTGGTGGGAAAATCTAGTTTTTAAAAATATTGACAATTAATTGAGACTATGAGCTAAAAGTGGCTGTAAGGCTTAATTTTGGTTATGTACTACCAGGTCAGGGTTCTCTTAACTACCTTGAGTGCTTTATGTTCTTTTTTTGTCATAAAATTAGCATGGAGTAAATGTTGAATAAATGGGCCTTATAAATTATTAATTTGTTTTGGCTTTTTCAATCTTATAGGAAATTTTATCTGTGGCTAAAAAAAATAAAAAGGAGAATGAGGTAAGATACTAGAATAAAGTTAGGTTTTATGCTTGCATATTTTTTTCCCCTTTGAATCGATTTATTCTCAGTTTTCACCTCCCTCCCTTCTTCCCTCCCTCCCTCCTTTTCTTTCTTCCTTCCTTCCTTCCTTCCACCAGGGATCTAACCCAGGTCTTTGTCATTATTAGGCAGGTGGCGGAACCTCTGAGCTAAATCCCTGGCCTCAGTTTTCACATTCTTAAACTGTAGTTACACATCTCTGATCAGTAAATTCAGCCATTGATTTCCAGTTTGGGCTTGACTGTCACGGATAACATTGACTTCTTAAGTGTGATACACTTTTTAAATTTTGCATTGAGCTTTTTGAATTTTGCATTGTCCCTTTCAAGAAAGGTAATTATTTCAATGAAAGTAAATGTTTCTGTGCTTCCTCAAAGAACTCCCTCCATACATATCCCCATGGACATCTGTTGTCCTTGTGAGCAATAGAAATGTTAAGAGTCAAATATCTTGAGTAACAATATAGCAGTTTGGAATGGAGGTACATTTTCAAAGGCCTTTTTTAAAAGTAGTGCCTGTTGACAGTTTTAGTCTATAAGGATGATTCTTATTTGTTTGTTGATAGCTTTTTTTTTTTAGTGGTTTTATGTTTCTATGGAACGGAAGTGTCTCTCGGTGTTTATGTGACATGTGGTCTTGTTTCTCCTGACCTAATGAATACAGAACTGGCTAGACTTTGTTAGTTATATTTTCTATTAAAATGGGGGAGTAGAGCAGTATTTTGTATCAGATTTCTAACCAAACGTTTTTCTCTGCAGGATGAAAGTTCCTCCTCTACTAATATCTGTGTAGAAGATCTTCAGAAAAACAAAGACTCAAATACCATAATTAAAGATAGATTGGCTCAAACTGTTAGGCAGAATACTAAATTCTTTTTTGACCCAGTTAGGAAATGTAATGGACAGCCAGTACCCTTTCAACAACCAAAGCTTTTCACAGGAGGAGTGATGTGGTGGTACCAGGTAGAAGGCATGGAATGGCTGAGGGTAAGGAATTATCATTTTTAATAGAATATATTGGTTCCTATCTAATAGCCTAGTAATATGACATAGCATAATTTTAGTTGCTCCTTCCATGCTTTACTTTTACATATAAAATGAATATTTCTTTGTACTTTTTATATTTGTTTCCCTGAATAAATTTTTGAAAGTAAAAATTACCTTGTTAGACTTCAAGCAAAGTTTATGTTTTTTTATAAAGGACTTCCCAACCTTGATTAAAGGTTGTTACAATTTATGTTGTATATGTATTAATTTCACAATTGCCATCTTTTTGAGTGTTCTCTTAAAAAGAGAGAAATAAACTATTGCTAATTTAGTAGATCTTTATATCAGAATTTGAATATAGTTATGTATTCCTTTGTCCAGATGCTTTGGGAAAATGGAATTAATGGCATTTTAGCAGATGAGATGGGGTTGGGCAAGACTGTTCAGTGCATTGCTACAATTGCATTGATGATTCAGAGAGGAGTACCTGGGCCTTTTCTTGTCTGTGGCCCTTTGTCAACACTTCCTAACTGGATTGCTGAGTTCAGAAGATTTACACCAGAGGTAAGTTTCCTCATGTTACTATTACTTCATATGTATTTTGTTTTATTGCAGGAATTAAATTGTAGACCTCCTACTATGCAGTAATTTATTTTTTTATAAGCATTGCATCTAGTTTGACTTATTTAGTCTGAGTGATGCCACTGTTTGAAAAGAATAGATACTGGTAATCTTGTGCTTTCTTTTTGAGGGTTGCATAATTTCATTCACCAATCTAGGTAGAATTTTCTTTCTTTTTGTGGTACCAGGAATCAAACTCAGGGCCTTGCACTTCCCAGAGCTGCGCATCCCCAGCATTTTTTTTTTTTTTCTTCTTTTTTTTGGTATTGGGGATTGAATTCAGGATGTTGTACTTACTTGCCAGTCATGGGCGGCACCACTGAGCCACGTCCTCAGCCCTTATAATGTTTATTATTACATGGTATTTTTTCTCTGTATATATATTATCTCATTCAGATCCTTACCTTATGAGAGGAATATATTCTAGAAGTAGAGCACCTTCCCTATCTGCCTCTTACATTTTTGGGTTTTGTTTTCTTTTCCTGCAATGGTGGCCTTAGGATTTGTTAGGTAATCTCATTTTGCTATAGAAAAATAGAACTTAAACTTTCTTTACTCAGAAAATTTCATCTTTTCCAAGTAATTGCTACTTATATTTTGTTCTAAATCAACCTAAAATCTAGATTCCTACTATGTTATATCATGGAAGCCAGCAGGAACGTCAAAGATTGGTAAGGAGCATTCACAGACAGACCGGGACACTGCAGATTCAACCTGTGGTGATCACATCATTTGAAATAGCCATGAGAGACCGAAGTGCATTACAGGTACAGAAAGGTCTTTGTTGATTTCTTTATAGTCTATATGTTATATTTTTTGCATACCACTTTCTCATGCAGTCCAGTTTTTAAATTTTTCTGGTTGAAGTTATAAATGGTAGTGTGCCCATTCCTTTAGAAACTAGAAGCTTATATTAACAGATGGGAATGAAGCCTATTTTCTCTTAAATTAAATCCTATTACATTTTAGTCTGCGAGCTATCTGTCAGATAGACCTAATCTGTTAGAATTTGCTAGGTAGACCTAACTAACCCAAATATATTACAGCTAATGTTTATGCTTTGAGAATATGGAATTTACCAATAAAAGTATAATATTCTTACCTCTTTCTTTCTTTCTTTTTTTTTTTTTTTTTTGCTTTTTGTTTGTTTTGTTTTGGTAGTGAAGATTGAACCCAAAATCTCTATACTGAGCTATATTTTTAATTTTTTTATCTGGAGACAGTGTCACCAAATTATCCAGGGTGGGATCAAGCTTGTGATCCTTCTGCATTAGCCTCTTGAGTAGCTGGTGTTATAGGCAGGTGTCACTGTACCTGGCTCATTTTGTCTTTAAAAAAGAATAGATTATTTGAAGATGAGTTATTTTTAGACATTCTTATGGGACTGTTAATATTTTCATACTTATTTTTCTTATTCTAGCTATTATGTTTTTGTTACTATAATGAAGTTAGAAAACGTATCTTCATTGCTACTCTATTATAGTTCTCTTTTTTGTTTAGAATTTCTTGCCTCTTTTCAATTTTTTCACTACTGGGGATTAGCCCTAGAACCTAAAGAATGATATGCAAACACTGCACCACTGAGCTATGTGTCTCCAAACCCTTTTTCTTTTAAAATAGGATTTTGCAAAGTTTCCCTGGTTGGCCTTACACTTGAGACTCCTCCTGTCCAGGCTTCCTGAGTAGCTGGTATGCAGACATTTATCACCATGTCTCACTGACATGTATTTTTGCCTTTTCTTTCTCTGACCATATGATGTCCTTGCAAGTGTAATCTACTGTAATTTTTTTTTTTTACACAAAACAAAAATAGTGAAAATCGGTTCAACAAAGTCAAAACAGATCATAAGTGGAGTGGAGTACATATTATGTATGGTTGGCAAAATCATGACTGTCAGATATTACATGTATGAGCAGAACTTTGGAATAGGATTTGCAGAATCCTACTTGGATGTTCAAAAAGTTTATGAAAATGGATAAAAATATCAAAACCATTTCTTCAGTGTAAGTAGCATACTGATCATAAAAAAAAGTAGTGTATGGAAAGATATGAAAGTATCTAATTCTGTGTGAGAATTCTTTCATACTGAGTAGCTACTGTTAGCATTATTCCGTGTAATATGGAGACTCTTCTAATTAATTTCTTTTCCTATCCATTCTGTAGTAAAATAGTTAAACTTCTTGCCAGTTGTGTTTACTAGTGGTTAAAATTTTTTGACTTTTCTCTTTACCTGAGCCTATGTTATCATTTCAAGCATTTAAGCTTTAAGGGAGAGAGATGCAGAGTTCTGATGCTCTTGTTTATAAAGTATTAGAGTGCTCTTGCTAATTATTTTTAGGTTCCTCATTGTTTCTGTTTCCTTGGTTTTCTCTTGTCTTTCACTTACTCATCCATAAAGTGTGGGTTTTGTTTTCTTTTCCTCCGTTTTCCAACTAAACATTCTCCTGCTGTAGTATCTAGAGTAACTGGGATTATAGGCAGGTATGCCATGATAACCACCTGATGTTTTATATTTTATTTGATAAAATAGATAGGTCTTTTGAAGTAAGATTATTTGGGTTATCCAGGGATCCCATAGGGCCAGAAGAATAAATCCTTTTCCAAGTGATTTTATTAAAAAGTAAAAATTTTATTTTTCATTCTGTTGGTAATGTACTATATAATTAAATACAAAAGATACCTCATTTTGTACTCTTTGACTCATTGAAAATACATTACTAAAATTAACTGTGGAAGAAATAGAAAACCTACACAGACCAATAATAACTAAGAAATTGGGAAATTGTCAGATGAAAAAGAATGTCAATTTCAAATGTGGACCTGAAGATATGGCACTAAAAGCTTTCAGCTACATTTTAGGAATCTAGTATGTATTAGGAAACTAAGATAACTTGATAAAACAAACAGAAAAGCTAGACTATAACTAGGAAATAAAGACCTCTTAACTACATTATAGCAAGGAGACTTAGTATTTCATGATGTAGTGATGTCTGCTCCAGGAACACAAGTATACACTGATTTTAGGAATGTATTGATTTATCCCATTAGTGGATCAAAGAAAATCACGATCATCTCAATGGATACTAAAATGCTATTTGATAAAATTCAACATCCTTCATAAAAGAGAACCTTTATTTTCAGAAATGCCTTTAGAAAAAATTATGAGATTGTTATTTTACAAATTTTCCCCCAATTCATTTTCTAGCATTGCTTTTGGAAGTACTTAATTGTAGATGAAGGACACAGGATTAAGAATATGAAGTGCCGACTGATCAGGGAGTTAAAGCGGTTCAATGCTGATAACAAACTTCTTTTGACTGGTACTCCTTTGCAAAACAATTTATCAGAACTTTGGTCATTGCTAAACTTTTTGTTGCCAGATGTTTTTGATGACTTAAAAAGGTAGGTAAGCCATTATTTAACTATTTTCTTCTTTTAAAAAAATTTTGTTTTAAATATATTTATTTCAAATCTAAATATCTGTAGTCCTAGCTGAAATGAATTCTTATAGGTAACTGAATTTAAATGATATTTTTGGCAAGTTTTTTGTGGTATACATTAAAGGTTCTACTTGTTCTTTTTTTTTGGTACTGGGAATTGAACTTGGGACATTGCTCTTGCAAAGTAGGCAGCAGTACCATTGAGCTAAATCCCCTGCTGTGGGTTCTACTTTTGACAAAGTTGTGTGAAATGAAAGATAATTTTGAACTTCTCCAGTTTGTTAGAAAAGAAAACATTAAAATGCTGTCTTATGAAAATTTTTATAATACTTTTTAATCTTAATTTTTAAAACACTATTAGATTTTTTTCCTAATTTTAATCTATAAAACAAACTGGGTTGATAAAAATGTTAAATAAAATCTGTCTCTCCGTAGAAAGCGTGGCCGTAAAGTTGTTAGACAATAAAATAGTTGGCAACAGAGCAAAAATACAAACCTAGTTTGCCCTGTTTTAGTCTAGCACTTTTTATCCTTAAAATGATTTTGAATTTTTGCTTATATCAAAACAGTTTTCAGAAAACAATATCTTCAGATGGAAGGATTAAAAAAATTAGTAAGAAGGAAGCAATTAAAGTGAAGTAAAAAAAGAATTCATTTATACCCACATTGGCATCAGTGAAGGGAGAAACTAATTGGATATGGAGAAATAGCTTTTAATGTTTTATTTTGAGAATGTATTCTAAATCTGATTCTCAAATACAGGCCTGAGCCAGGTACTTTATTTGATTGCATACTATCGCTAAAGGACAAGATTTCCAAGTACTACACATACCTACTGAGTTAGAATATTGAGATGTAGGAACTAAAAATACTATTTTTTTTTTTTTTATTTTTCGTTTGGTTGGGTATTGAACTCAGGACCTTGCACCTGTGAGGCAGGCAGCGGCACCCCTGAGCTAAATCTCTGGCCCTAAAAACATTTTTTTATTTATTTTTTGAGACAGAGTCTCACTTTATAGTTCAGGCTGGCCTTGAACTCAGAGCAATCCTGCCTCTGCCTCCTGAGTGCTGGGTATAGTATTACCTACAAAATAAAACAATTGTATTTTTTTACTTATTTTATATAGTTTTCTAACATTAGAAAGAAATAAGATGTTTAGTAGATATGTCAAGTTACATATATGTTGAACTGAATAACTTGTTGGAGCAGTCCAGATTATAGAGATAGACAACACAGCCCTGTTTTTGAGAGATAGTTGTTGCTTTTGTAACTTCAGAATGTTTTGCAAAATATGTGTGGTATACCTTTTGCTGGGATTGTAGCTCACTTGTAGAGTACTTGTCTAACATGCTTAACACTCTGTGTCTTAATTCCTAGCATCACAAAACTCACAAACAAAAATGTATATCTTAACTTTGATATTTGTACTATTAGATTATGTTAGTATAAGAGGAAAATGACTCAGATCACAGTTCTTGATTGTTGGTTTAATAAATGCAATCACTTTATCTTTGTTGTTTGTGTTTTCACTGTTTAAAAATTACATCTAAGGATTAGGTGCAACAGTATCCATGCTTCTTACATGGATAAGTTATAAAACATGAATCATGTTATGTAATTTAATTCTTGTGATAGGTTAACTTGTAGTCATGTTTTTCTTCTAGCTTTGAATCTTGGTTTGATATTACTAGTCTTTCCGAAACTGCTGAAGATATTATAGCTAAAGAAAGAGAACAGAATGTATTGCATATGCTGCACCAGGTATTGACTGTGTCTTACTTTGCTGACTGTGTTCTCATAGAATAAATAAGGAACTTGCTGTTTCCCTATTCGGGGGAGGGTCATATTTTAGGTCATAAGTATTTGCCTAAATTTTACCCTTTCATACATATATTCATTTTACCATTAATAGCATTGTCAGTTAAAAAATGAAAGTGTGTCGTTTGTATGAAGAATTTACCAGTAATTCCCATGGCCCCAGAGTTTCTCAGTTGTGGATTGATAATTTTATTCAAACACTTCATCATTTTTTTTCTTATTT